GAAAAATTGTCGGAAGAAGAGTGGGAGGATTTGAAGGACATGGCAACAAGTACAATATGCCTATGCCTTGCAAATAATACTCTTCGGGAGGTTCTCGGTTTGACGGACCCGGTGGATATTTGGGACAAGCTGGAGAGCCGGTACAAGTCGAAATCGTTGACAAGTAGGCTATACTTGAAGAAACGATTGTTTGGTCTCCAAATGGCTGAGGAAGCTAACTTTAATGGACACTTGGATGAATTCAACAAGATTACAACAGAGTTGGAATCCATTGATGTGAAGATTGAAGAGGAGGACAAGGCGCTGCTTTTGTTGGCTTCATTGTCTTCATCTTTTGACAACATCGTTACCACGCTTTTGTTTGGAAAAGAAACCTTAAAATTTGATGAAGTAGTTGCTGCGTTGTTGATGAACGAGACTCGACGGGGTGGCAACGGGGTATCAAATGACGGTCAAGCTTTGGTAGCAAAAGGAGCTGGTCGGGAACGAGGACGGTCTAAAGAGAGGGGCGCCGCGTCCCAACGCTTCAAATCGAGTAGTAAAAGCTTTCGGTGTTACTACTGCGATGAAGAGGGTCATTTCAAAAGGGATTGTCCAAAGAGGAGGAAGGAAAAGAAGGACGGAAAAATACCCGTGACTGCGGTTGCAGAAGGTTCGAAACAAGAAAGTGAAGAAGACTTGTTTTTGGCAACTACAAAGAGTCTAGGTAAATCGGATTGGATATTAGATTCGGGTTGTCCGTTTCACATGTGTTCAGTTAAGGAACAATTTGATACGTATCAAACTTGTGATGGAGGTGCTGTGAAGATGGCAAATGGTGCACGGAGCAAAATTGCAGGGGTCGGAACAGTGCAAGTTCGCATGTTTGATGGCATGGTGAGAACATTAACTGGAGTGAAACATGTACCAGGTCTAAAAGAAAATTTGATTTCATTGGGGGCTTTAGATTCAAAAGGCTGCCGAATTTTTGTTCAAAGTGGAGTGTTAAAAATTTCAAGGGGAGCAATGGTGGTAGCAAAAGGAGTTTTGTCAAAGGGCTTGTATAAACTTGTAGGAAAAGATTTGACACGAAAGATGTCAGAAGGAAAATTTACAAGTGCAACGAGCAGAGCATTTGCATGGAAGAAGCGGGTGACATTTGAAGCTTCTCAAGTTGGTGGAGACTGTGACCTCACCGGAACGAGCGGGGTGGAGCCGGACCATGGCTTGATTAATTAATCAAAGTGGAGTTTGTTGGGATATTTGATTAAATAATCAAAAGAAACAAAAAAAAAGAAAAGAAAGAAATCAAAGGAATCAAATTGCATGTGGATTTTTTTGATGGAAGGGAATCAAATTTTGGACTCTTGTGCTTGTGGTCATTTGCAGGAGTACTTCCCTTGGCTTTAAAAGCCATGCATGGTCTTCTTAGTAAGTATACACACGGCTAAGGAAAAAGAGGAAGGTTAAGAGAGAGGTCTACACAAGATATCACCAACATTGTGTGAGTGAGTGTAGGGAGTAACTGGTTTTAGTTACTCAGAAAAATACATCCGGGTGTAGGGTGTGAAAAGTCTGTTTATAAGTGTCTGATAATTAGCACTTGTAAACAGGGAGAGTTTTTTTTGTATATTGTCCTGAAATAGTGGAAATATAATTTTTTCTCTCATATATTCTTCTTGTGTTTGTTCTCTCATTTTTACGCGCTTAAAATCCCAACAAACTACTCTTGCAATTATTCAAGATATGGGTGGACTCAATAGTCTTGGCTCTTTTTCCACCAATCATCTTAAGTTTCTTTTAATATTTTTAATTCAGATTTTAGAGTTCATTAAACGAGTGAAAGAATCATAATTTTAAGTCCGATAAAGTACTTTATACTCCTTGCGTACCAGAACAGATACCATGGTTATTATTACCGTCTTTCTATAATTTTAATTTTTTTTGTATATTTTCATTGATAATTTGATAAAATAAAATATTTG